CCGCCCGCTGCCCTCCATAGCCTTCGGACCCCGCGTTACCACGGCAACCACCGGCGCGCGGTGATGACGTCAGGAGCGGCGCTCTAGCAGCGGCGGCGCTGCCATAGAGACGCGCGGTCCGCCAAGGCCGGGCGGGGGGCGCAGGGGCTTCCCAGAGCTTTGTTGAGGGTACGGGGGAGCACAAAATACCCCCCCACAGGGTATATGTGGGGGAGGCGGTCAGATCCTGGCCCCATGCGGCTTTAGGGGGCTAAACCCCAGCCTTAGGGATTTGTGGGGTCGGGGTGGGTGCCACCCCCCCCCAGGGTTTTTGGGGGAGACATCAAGGTCCAGCGCACAAGATCCTAAAAAGGGATTATTTCAAATCGCAGCCATCTTTTAGGATCTTGATAGCTGGACCCAAATCCTGACACCCCCAGGGTGCTGGGGGGAGCATCCCTAGCACCCCCCGTCCTTCCCCATCCCACCCCGGGGGTCTTGGGGGGACGTCAATCCCCAGCCCCACAATCCTAAAGGGGGAGATTAGCCCAAATGCCAGTCATCCCTTAGGATTTTGGTAGCTGGCTCCAAATCCTGACACTCCCAGGGTGCTGGGGGGGACCACCCTCACAGTGCTTCGGTGATGAGGGGCAGCCCAAATCCCACCACCCTACAAAACTTAGGAGCGGGTCAGACCAAAGTGTGTCCCCCCTGGGCTGTGAGGGGGGTATGCCCCCAAATTCCAGCCCTATAGCACCTTGAGGGAGGGTTATGCCCCATCACTGGGCTGTGGGGCCCCAGCACCCTGTGAACCCCCCCAGAGCAAGGGCTCAGCCTCAGGACGCACCCCCAGCCCTATTTTGCAAGGTCCTTCTCCCCCATCCTATACAGGGCCACATAAGGGTGGCAGGTCCCTGCCAGCCTTGTTGGCGGGGGGGGCACACAAGACCCTTCCCTGCCCCACTTATCTCCTTGCCATTGCTTATTCTGAGGAAGCAGTAAAAGGGGAAGAAAAAGAAAAAAACAGCAATTTTCGGTAAATCGTTGGTCTTCGGAGCCTTGGCGCTGATTTTGGGGTGGGCACGGTGGGGCCGCAGGCAAGGCCATGTTCTCCAGTGGGGGTCCAAGAGGCCAAACCCCCCTCCCAGCTGCCTGACGCAGGTGGCACAGCCGCCCCCCCAGCTCTATATTTAAAAAATCGAGTTGCCATGGCTACGCAGAGCAGCTCTCCCCAGCCCTCGGTTCCGCAGGGAGGGTGCAGAAAGCCCCTCCTCGGCTTCCTTTTCGGGGGGTAAATTCGATATAAACCCCTCCAAAATCGCCTCGGTGCCGAGCTTAACTCTTCCTCTGCCATTCTCCAGCATCCGGGCGAGACACAGGCGCCGTCACACCGCAGAAAACACACATTAATTTTATTATTATTATTATTATTATTATTATTATTATTATGGCCACTGCAGAGGAGGAGGAGGCACGAGAGCAGGTTCATGTGCAGGGCTGAAGGGGTGCAAACCCACACCCGCCCCACAGCGCGTCTTCCTCGTAAGGGAGCCGCTGTCTTGTCCGGATTCACCCCCCGAGGAGCGTCCCAACCCCGGCTTGGGGGCGCGGGGATGGCCCCCGACCCCTGAACCGGGGGTCTCAGCACAGCGGGTGCCGGGGGCCGCGCAGGCTGCACTCCCTCATGCGCTGCCACGCCCAGCACGGCAGCTCTGCCGGGTTCCCCCAGAGGCGCCCCGGGGCCGAAACGCTCGTCCTCGTCTTCTATCCTCCAGGATGGAGCTGAGGCGCGGGGCGCAGCGGGCCCTGCTCGGCGGGCGGGCAGGTAGGGACAACTGGTGTTGAGCAGCCGCCGAGGGGCACCAAGGGCACGATGGCGTCGCCCAGGAGCTGCTGCTGGACGTGGCGGAAATCACTCTGCCTCTTGAGCCGCTTGAACTCGTTGAAGGCCGAGGCCGAGGTCTGGTAGAGCAGCAGGGCCATGGCGCGCGCCTTGTCGGCCTTGGAGACCAGCACGGCGTGGCAGCGCAGCACCACGGCCTTGTTCTTCACCTGGTGCCGGTACACCCAGGCGAACACCTTGGGGTGCCGGCGGTCGGCGGCGCAGTAGGTGATGCGGTGCAGCAGGTACGCGTGGCCCGGCCGCCGCGCCCCCTTCTCGCTCGGGGTCATCCGGATGCCTTGTGGCCCCAGCGTCAGCTTCATCTTGCCCCACCGGCGCCCGCCTCGCTCTTTGCCCAGATCTTGCCCACCGCCTCCTCGGTGCAGCCCTCGCCCTTGGCGTGCAGGGTCACGGCGTTGCCCAGGTACCGCACCGTGTACGTCGGGTCCTCCTTGTTGAGCTCCACTTTCTGGCGCTTCCCGCGGAAGACGCTGCCCAGCCGCTCCAAGGGACACTCGGGCAGAAGGTCCGGGCAGGAGCGCAGGAACCCGGCCAGCAGCGCCGCGTAGCTCAGCCCCGGCCCCAGGCTCTTGCCTTTGCACTTACGTTCATTTTCCACCAGCACGAACTTGCTCCGGCGCCACGGCAGCATCTCCGCTCCGGCCTCTCACGGCTCCGCTAATCCCGGATCAGAAACACAGCCCCCCCCCCCCGCCACCCCAACCCGCAAAAATCTGAACGCCGGGGTGTCCCCACCACACACACCCCCCCCGGAGGTTGTTGAATCCCTACCCCGGGATGCAGCTTTGCCGCGTCCCCGGTTGACCGTTTTCGCGGTCCGAGGAGGATGTCGGGGATGCTCGCCGAGAGCCGCCGCGCTCCGGCTGCCGCCTGCGCCTGATGCTGCTGCGGGAGCGGCTCTCCGTGGGCTGCTCCACCTCCCCGAGCACGCGGGGAGCCGCCGAGGAACGTCCCCCACCGGCTCCTTGGATGCGCGCTCGCTCCCTGCTCCGGCAGGGATACAGAGGTGGGGGGAAAATAACACCCTCACTTCACGCAGCAGCCATGCTCCTAAATGCCCGAATTCCCTGATTTCTAATCCCGGGGAGGACGATTTTAGGGAGGGTCAGATGATGGTTTCTGACCCTGGCATGATAAAATGGATTTTTTTCCCCCCAGATCTGTCGCTGGGATTTGAGGATCCTGCAGGTTTGCTGGCATTTTTTTTTCCTCCAAACCACCTCCCCTCCGCTTTTTGCCTGGTTTTCCCAAGCCAGCCAGACCTCCTTGCTGCTCCTCTTCCTTTTGGACTGAGCTGGCTTTTAACCTGTTGCTTTTATCTCTGGCCAGGGCCCCAGGACAACTTCCCTCCAGGGAATATGAAGTGTTATTTCCCCACAGTGCAGCCTGAGGGAGATTTTTGGGGAGCTCTGTGAGATTTCAGTCCTGCATCAGAATCTGAAGCTGCTCAGGATTCAGCTGCTTTGGCTCAAACCCTGATTTCCACGGTTTTTTTGCTATCTGGGGCTTCTTATAGATGCAGCAGGGAGACCCCCCAGGCTTGGGGATGCTCCAGCTGCTTTGAGATGGAAAAATAACGGGGAGAAAGGAGGAGAAATTACACTGTGTACCCCCACTTTTAGCCCATTTGGGGAGGTAAACCAGAGCAGGGTGTTGCAGGGAGCAGGAAGCCATTTCCCAGCAGCTTCCCAGATTTTCTACGGTTTGAGTGAAGCAAACACAACCTTAAAATAGCTGCTTTGCAGGCAGACAGCACCAGCCCTGCTCCTCTCACTGCCGCGGCCTCGACAGCCTCGGAGGTTTTCACAGCCAAAATAATAAAAAATGTATGAATTTGTCTGTTTTTCAGCTTTTCTGCTGCAAACACACGGTGTGGGGTTTGATCCCGGTGCAAGGATGGTTTTGGGGAGGTGGTAATTAGGGAATTAGTGCAAATTAGCAAGGTTTCCATCCATTCCAGCCTCTATCCTTCATTATTCTGCTGTCATCCTCACTGACAGAGGTGAGGACTCTTTAATTGCTCGGTGTTCATATTGACAGGGCAGGTTTAAACCCTTCCCAAAAGCTCTTTTATTTGTACATCCCACATTATTTAGTGAGGGGTCCCCCTGCTCTGATCTGCTCCCACAGTGTCTCCCCTCAGCTGCTCTGGGACTGGTTTTCCCTTTTTCTCCCTGTTTTTGGGGTAATGGAGATTGGAGTGGGGGCACAAGAGAATCTGTGGCTCATTTTATAAGGGGAAAACAACCTGGATTTGCACTTTGAAAGCTGAGAAAAAGGATTCAGGGCTGTCAGTCCCTCCTCTCACTGCCTGTTGCCTTGACTGACTGCCCTTGCGAGTACCCAGCTGTCATCATTGCGTTCCAGAGTGAACAACCACCCACATAGTGTGAGGAAAGTGGGTTTCCTGGTTATTCTCTGGACAGTACAGATGCCAGCTTTCGTTTCTTGGGGTGCCTGTGGTGGTCTCACTGCCCCGTGCTCCCTTCTCAGCTCCCAGAGTTTCTATGCCAACAGAAGCCACTGCAATTTGGATGCCGCTTCTCAGCAGTGACCCAGGACCAAGATTTGCTGGCATAACCTGCAGGTAAGGTCAAAATCCTCCCAAAATTCAGCAAACCGGACAAAAATCCCAGTGATACATCCCTGGGGGCTGTGACACCCGTCCTTGCAGATAGAAAGTGGAGCAGGAAGCTCCTCGGGCCAGGGGGAAATAGAGAAATCTTTAATTAAAAAGCAATTTGCTGATCACCCAGGAACCCTTTTACCCTGCCAGGGGCGATTCCCATGGAAGCACCAGCAGACCTGAATTTGGGCTCCAGCATAAGGGCATCCCAAAAGGGGCTTTCACCACCTGTGTCTTCAGCCAGATTTCCCTGCTGCCCGTAGCTAAAAGTCCTGGGAAAATGTGATACATATAGATATTATTTTTAATGCTTTCGATCAAATTAATTTATTTCTTTTGATCTCACTGATCAGGAGCTGTTGTTCCTGCCCCCCCACCACCCCCCAGAAAGACTTAATGACATTTTCCCCTGGAGTCACAGAACCAGTTTTGAACAGGGAAGGAAAAAATCTGCGAGACAGCAGCGGAAAAATGCTCTGCCGGGACAGGGAAAGGAGGAAGCAGAAAACAAACCCCGGGATGAGTTGGAAAAAGTGAGACAGCAGGCAGGGAGGGGATGTGGGACTCCCCGAGCGTGATGCTTTGGGGGCCAGGGCTGTCCCTAGGGATGCTTCCTGGGGTTCGGCTGTGCGCCGGGGCGTTATCCCGCAGTCCTGGCCAGCCTGTTTTCCAGGCAAGGAAATATTTAACTGCGGCGTCAGCGGGCAGGGCAGGCGGGTGCAGGCATGGAGGGCAGCGGGCAGCACTCAGCCCCCGCTGTGCCCCCGGGCCAGCCCCAGGGGGACCGTCTCCAGCTCCTGCTGCGCCGCAGCCGGGAGGCCAAAAATTGTGCCTACTGCCCCTACAGCCGCTTCCCGGTGGGAGCTGCGCTGCTCACGTCCGGTGGGAGATTTGGCTCCGGTAAAGGTCGTTGGCCCTAAGAGCCCACCCTTGGGATTTTTGGGAGCCCCCAGCACCTTTGGAACGCTGCACGGGGTGTAGCGGGGTATCCCGGGGTGATCGGTGTTGTGTGTCCTTCCCCCGCTGCCTCCTGGCAGCCGCCAGCCCGCAGCGAGCCAAAGATCGCGGTGGATGGGGAAGTGCAGGAAATAAATAAGGGAAGCAGGGAAACTGGCTTTTCTTTGCAAATTCCCCTAAAACCAACAACAACAACAACAAAAATTAAAAAAAAAAATTTCCCCGGTGGGGTTTGGGGTGGCTGGTGCCGGGGGTTTTCCCCACAGGGTGCAACGTGGAGAACGCCTGCTACAACCTGGGGATGTGTGCTGAGCGAGCTGCCATCCAAAAAGCCATCTCGGAGGGGCACACCAGCTTCAAGGCCATGGCCATCGCCAGGTAAGGGTGCTCCGAGAGCTGGAACAGGGAGGGACGGGATGGGGGGATAGCAGGAAAACCTCCAGTGCGCCCCGTGGGCAGATCCTGCTGCAGCAGCCCCAGCGTTTGGGGGGGAAAGAAAGTTTTTGCTTGGTTTTTTTGAGGAATTAGGGGGGAAATCTGCTGTAGCTCCGTATTTATTGGTGCATGAAGGTCTTCTGCAGGTGTTCCCCCCTCCTCTGACCTCAGGACTGAGCTCTGTGCCCTTCTCCTTTGGCAGTGACATGGGGGACTTCATCACACCCTGCGGCGCCTGCAGACAAGTGATGAGAGAGGTGACAGCTCTTGTGGGGGCTTTGTGTCTCACCCCCTGACCCCAGACACCACCCCCTGACCCCAGAGAAGATCACTTGACCCTAGACATCATCCCTTGGCCCCAGGCATCTCCCCCTAAAACACCTAGAGGTGCCAAGGGCGGTGCAATCCCCTATCCCCAGCCCCAGGGCTGGCTCCTCAAATTGCATTATCCACTGGGAAAGGGATATTCCTCCCTATTCCATGTGAGTGGGTGCTTGGTGGGAATCCATTAGCTCCCCCTTCCCAGGGGGTTTTGTTCCTCCAGGTGCAGAGTTTGGCCCTGGAGTCGTTGCTCCACCTCTGGCAAGCCTGAAAACAGGGGTTTTCCTGGAAAAGCTGAGATTCTCGCGGATCCCATCCCTCTCTCACTTCCCTCCTCCCCACAAGCACCCCAGCACCCACAGCCCGTTTTTGGGTGGTTAATATTTAATGGGTTGTGGGGCTTGGCTCGAGGGTGGGATTCAGGAAGTTTGGAGGCATCGGGGCTCACCCTGGGGGGTAAAAACACAGGATCTGAGCCCAAAATATCCTCTGAGGGGGTGATGCTGATAAGCCAACCCAAAATCCATGCAATAGAAGGGGATGCTCCCCCTGAACCTAGAAATAAAGGATTACAGGAGTAATTTGGGGAAGAAGTGCAGGTTCTTCTGCCTTCTCCTTCTTCTCCCTCATCAGACTCTTCTCCCCACTCTTCTCCTCCAGTTTGGCACGGACTGGGATGTCTACCTGACCAAAGCAGATGGCACCTACATTGTCAAGAGGCTGGAGGAGCTGCTGCCACTCTCCTTTGGCCCTGAGGACCTGAAGAAGGTGTGACCAGCATGGCCACCACCATCCTTTGCCCCTGGGGCAGCAGAGGAGGATGGTTTTCCCCAGTTTCCTCGGTGTGTAAGCAGCTTTTTGGGGAAGACACAGTTGGAAATGCATTTGTAGTGCTGTTCCTCTCATCTTCTGATTCAGTGTTGATTCACAGGCACTGGCTCCACCTCCCCCGGAGGAAACAACAAAATCAAATCACAGAAATTCCCTGTTATTAGTAAAAAAATGTGCAGATATCCTTGTAGCCAAGGAAGGAGTTGAGTTTGATGCATGGCTCAATTTCGGGCTTGTTGATACAGAAACAACTCCTAAATAATGCAAAATCATTGCTTGGGAAAATTCTGGATTCTTCGGCTCTGAAGAGAGGTGAAAGCCAAAAGGAAATGCTCCATCAGCCCCAGCAGTAATTAATGAGCCAGTCCAGATTAGGTGGATTGCTGGGATGGGATGGTTATTGCACTGAGCGTGTCCTTTGCTCGTTTCTCTCCAGCTTGTTTTCCTCACTTTTGTTCCATTTATGGGGGAGAAGAGAATGAAGAATTTTTGACTGCTTCTGCAGAGTTTTGTGCCTCCAGAGTAGTGCCATTTGCTGATTGTACTATTGATTTAACTATGCACGATGACAAATGAATGTGTGGTATTTCCCAACCAATGCTGGGTTGGGCATTTCAGCCCATGCCCAAGCCAAATAAAAGCTGTTCTGGTTTATCTCCTGCAGTAGCAAGTGATGGAACACAGAGAATGGGGTCCTTGGGCTGTCCTGCTGCCAGGCAGGGCCAAGGGGCAGTGGATGTGACATGGGAACATCATGAGGTTCAACCTTAGAGCCCCTTCATGTGCCTTGAAGGGGACTTTATAAAGATATAATAAAGATGAGGGTGGACTTTTTAGCAGGTCTTTTAAAGGGAGAGTGGTTTTAAACTAAAAGAG